TGCTGGAGGAATTTGGTGAGATTTTTGGGACGCTCGCTTGGCTTTTCTGTTCTAAATCGACCCCTTAATTTAGATTGTCGCCGCCGTACCTAACTCGTCAGGGGGCAATTATGTGATAATTACGAGAATTGCATAGTTCTTTTATCTGGCGGCCGTGCATGTAGGGGGCTCAATACAGCGAAATCTGTTCACGTGTAAATTTCCCTCCCCTGGCGATGCTGCCTGCCGCGGCCAGCACTGCCGGTGTTATCACCGGGCTCGATCCGAGCCAGGGCTACAGAGAGGGAGCTGGGCCGGGAGCTCGGCCCGGCCCTTCCCGGGGTGAGGTGGAGCCGCGCTAGAGATGCTCCATCCGGGGTCGCCTCGTCCGGCGGAGGAACGCCGGCTCTTGCTGTCGCCGCCCCTGCCGCTAAGCACCCAGGAGGTGACACCGCCTCGGGTGGCTTTGTCCCTCCCTCCCTCAACCTACTCCGGCACAGTGAATTAAAAAAAAGAAGACCTCCCCCCGTCCCGTCCACACCCGCAGAGGCCGGTGGCATCGCAGAGCCCGCAAACCCTCCCTGAGGGAGCGTCTCCTTTCTCCGCGCCGCGCAGACCACTCGTTGTCACATCCATGCGCTTGTTTTCCTGGCACATGGCTCCGTCCGCCGTAACCCGTCCCAGAAATTTTGAAAGAAAATAGCAGAAGTCTTTCATTGTTAACATTTGATTTATTTAAAGTCCTTAACTGCAAATGATCAAAAAACATACTTCACACATTAAATTCTGTTATCGTTTTAAATCAAAATATTTTTTTCAATTACAATCACATTTATAAAATTAACAAAATTTCTTAAATTCACGTGTAATTCTTTTTTTTTTTTTAATGTCATTTAAAGCAATTTCCAGCTGTAAAGAAAGAAAAAAATATAAACCATGCAATAAATTAAGAACATTGAAACAGTGAACAGGAATAATAATAAAACCCGTCTGGCTATGCTAACACCGTGTAAAACTGGGGAAAGTGCATTAACACTGGATGAAACAAGCTAACGATGACGATAATTAAATGGCCACCAAAAAAAAAAAAAAAAGTTAGAAAAGGGGAGAGAGACAGAGCTCTCCTCTCTTCCTTATGTCGGTGTAATAGTCAAAAGTTTCCTGGGGAAAAGGGAAAATAACCTTGTTATGGACAAACAGTTCTAGCTGGTACACAATGAAGACACTTAAGTAAGCATGTCATCCACATGTTGATGAGAGTTCCTGATGAACGAGAATCTTCAGTAACAGAAAGGGGGGGGGGGAATCCAACTGGCTGTGTGACCTCTTTTAACTTTATGTTACACCCCAAGACAGGTAACAGGAAAAGAATAAGGGTCGCATCCTGCACTCCAAAGCTCCAGTTGGTCCCCTCGGGAGTGCAGGATCCAGCCCGCAGCATCTGGGTGTATGCGGGTTGTAGTAGCCGAAGGTTTATTTTGCAAGTATCAAAAGGATGATCTTAGAAAGTAAATAGTCCTCTTGTTGCTTAGAGATTCTCTTAGTGTTTTGCTACTTCACAGCAGTATTGTCCTTCAAAGCCTTTTTAATTAAAAAAAAAAGTTTTAAATGTCTACTCGCTTCTTCATCTCCGTATTGTTAAAGTATTGCCACATACCTGTAAACTTACATGAGATTATAGAGCACAGAAGGGGGGAGAAAAGTGGGCGGAAAGCACAAACAAGTAGTTTACAAGCTCAACAATTTTTTCTTCTTTTTAATAACACCCTGTAAAGGCTGGGGGGGGGCCTCCGGGGAGAGGGGCTGGGCGGCAGGCGGGGGGGAGTATGTACAAGCAGGACGCAGCCGGCTCCGCAGGAGGTCGTGGAGGATCGTAACAACACACTACGCGTTGCGAGAGAATTGAAAAGTAACAGTCCTTCGCACGCAGAGTGCGGGAACATCTCAGTTTGGCGCAGGGAGAGGAAAAGAGGGGAGAGAAGCCAAGAAGAAGAGGGGTGAGGGAGAAGAAGGACTCGCCCCGGCGGCGGGTGATGCAGAGCTAGGAGGTGTTTAACACGGGTCTGGAATACACACCTTGGTAGTAGGAAGGCTCTAGGGCCGACGGCTCAATGCTGCTCCGGCCCGCCATGGAAGCGCTGCCAAGGGGCAGCCCGCTTGGGATGCTGGCACCGTAGGAGGAATATTGCAGCGCCTGCTCGTAGGCTTTGAAGTCCAGCTTGTGTTGCTGTTCCGAGGAGGACATGAGGTTGTTGATGGAAAAGGGGTGGTTGAAGGAATAGTGAGGATCGCCCTTGAGGTGGAGCTGGGGTTCGTGGGCTAAGGAGTGAGGGGGGTGAGGGACGGAGGCCAAGGCGGGGACGGAGCTGATGGTGGAGGTGGCCGAGGCCGAAGTCTTTAGTTCCGTGCTCGATCCGCTGTGGTCCATAGACTGGGGACTGGTGGACGGGTTGGAGCCAGAGAGGGAGGTGGCGGTGTCCAGCTGTGCGGGTTTATTATGGCCTCTGTGCAGTGGGGAGTTGGAGCTGGAACTGGAGGCCCCGGCCTGATCTTTCCTGCCTTCCTGAGGAGCTTTGCTGTTCGCCGGCTTCTCGCACTTGAAGCGTTTTTGCCGGCGGAGATAGCAGCCGTTTTCAAACATATTGCCGGAGTCGGGATGCAGGGTCCAGTAAGAGCCCTTGCCGGGCTTGTCGGGGGAGCGGGCCACCTTTACAAAGCAGTCGTTGAAAGAGAGCGAGTGGCGGATGCTGTTTTGCCAGCGCTGCTGGTTCTGCCGGTAGTAGGGGAAAAGGTCCATGATCCATTGGTAGATCTCGCTCAGAGTCAGCATCTTGCTGGGCGCCTGCTGAATGGCCATGGTGATGAGGGAAATGTAGGAGTAGGGCGGCTTGGCGTGGGGGTAGCTCCTTTTGAAGGTCTTGGCGTCCCGCGTCCTGCTGAGGTTGGACTGGGTGTAGGCCATGGGGCTCATGCAGGGGTTCATGCCGCCGTAGGGGCTTAGCCCGTTCATGGGAGCCGGCTGGGCAGACATGGCATTGATGCCGCCGGGGCTCAGGGCAGTGCCCATGGCGGCCACTCCGGCCGGCATGCCGTTCACCGGCCCCGCCGAGCCCGCCTGTATGCCGGCCACAGCGCCAGGGCTCAGCCCGGCCCCCAGTCCCGTGTTGGCGTAGGACATGTTGAAGGAACTGGAGGTCATGTTGCCACTCGTCGTCATGGTGTTCATTGTCATATAGGTGTTCATGGTGTTCATGGAGCCCAGCCCCGAGTTCATGTTGCTCACGGGCACCGAGGAATAGGCCTAGGGCAGCGAGACGGAGAGAGCGGGTTAGGGAGGCAAAGAGGGGTGGGCAAGAAAGACCCCGGCGGGCCCGGACCCTCCCGCGCTGCCCGCCCTGGCCAGCAAGCGGTGTACATGTCCTGCCACGGGACGCCTTCCACTCCCCCACCACCCGGGAGAGCGCTTCCCAGAAGCCGCACGGAAAGGCCGCTGGCGCGATGAAAAGGGCTAATTCATATTTATATGTGTTTATAAATAGACACAGTGCAGAGGTGCTCGGTACCGACGCACTTCCCTTTAAGCGGCGTGCCGCGGCTTGAGCCGGGATCACCGAGGCGCACGGACCGACGACCTCCCCAGGGCAGCTCCGCTCCGCACCCCTTCATGGCCGGGCTGCGGGTTCTGTCTGCCCCGGGAGGAGGTTTACTCCTGGACTGTTCCAGCTGTTTTGCCGACTTTGTGTTCCGTCTCGCCGATTAAATATTTAAATTCATCAGATTATTGAAATTTCTGGGCATACACTGCCTGCGCAAAGGAGAAGCTCAACTGCCTCCACTTCGTTAGGATAATCTCATGCATCTCTTCTCCCACGCTGCACTGATTTAGATTTCTATTCTTACACAAGATGTGACAATATCTTGCCAGAAAGAAAAGAAACCACAAACAAACAAAAACCCAAACCCACACAAACCAACCAAAAAAACCCAAACAAAACAATCAAAACAACAACAATAACAAAAAAAAAAAAAAGCCTTCAAAAACCCAACAGCAACAGCTCAAGTCCATGCATTTTTATCTGTGGAAAGGTTTCCCCTAGTCCGCTTTTTCTGTTAAGTCAGTCTTTAAAGTCAAGTTAAAAAAAGAAAAAAAGAAAAAAGAAATCAAACCAGCAACCCACACCAAAACACCACAAACACCAAAAACTCTCCCAAAGTACGAAAAGCCTGAACATTCCCTGCCTGAAATTTTCTACGATTGCCCGATATGCAAAAATTGTAGCAGCCTGCCACCTAACACAAGTCTTGAAAAAGCAAAACCGGAAAGCCTGAAATTGTGCTTTCCAGTATGTCATCTGATTTAATAGAAAGGAGAAAGATATTCCCAGTTTACCTCGAACAAAGGCAATACGGCTCACAAAAGGATGTTTAAGCGACTATTAAATGTACAAAATTCATTACTGTTCACTACAAATGCCACGAGCTTATAAATGCGCTTTCAATTTAGAGGATCACATTAATTATTTGGGATGGTAGAACACGGATGGGTTTCCCACCTTGCATCCATACAGTGATTCAAATTAAATATCAGAAAAGATTGAGGAAAAAACAGCAAAAGTGAAGGTAGCTTAACTTTATGTTTGTGGACAATGAGCATGGCGAGGATAAATGAGTCTGGAAACGGCACACAATTAGGATGACCCTTATTTGCCCTTAGCCGACTTTCCTCTATTAAATAAGATGCCGGCAGGATGACACGTATCATCTGCCTGTGCCCGCGTGGCCCCACGGGCGCTAGGTGCCAGCTCCAGGGTGCAGGGCCGAGGCGTGGGGACTGTAGAGCCGTGTGTCCGGGTGTGCTGATGCAATGCCCGGGTGCGCACACCTAGGTGCTTGTCTCGCCACCACACTTCCTTAAAACGGCTCCTTCCCGGGCAGGAATCCGGGGGGCTGCTGGCACGATTGTTAGGTGCTGCCTTCTCCTAGCGACTCTCCTCCTGCAGAGCGGCAGCGGCATGGTGCCAACCCCAGGCCCCACAGGGCAGAGGCGCGCCGCGGGGAGGACTCCGGCCGCTTCCGTGGCCCTCTCCTCTGCCGTAGTTGTTGGCGCTCTGGCCGGTTCTCCCCCTTCTCTTGCACCGCGTTGTCGGAGAGCCGCTGGGGATGGATAGGGAGGTGGGAAGCGCCTCCCGGGGTGCTGCGGACCGGGCCGAGCCTGGTCCGGGGCAGTGGGTTCGGGTCCGGGCCCCTCTCCCGGTCTGGCTCCCGGGTCCGCTCTCGGCAGCGCCGCCAGCCGGCCCCCGGCAGCAGCGCTCGCCGCGGACAGCCCGTTTTTCAAAGTATGAACAAACGGCTGTTTCACCATTTCTCCCTTCTTTCTCCCGACTTTAACAGGTGAGGCCCCTGGCGACGGCGACAGAGATTCCTGTGGCCCCACCGCCGGGCGCGGGGAAGGCGCTGCCCGGTCCCAGGACGCGCTTGCGACCGGGTCCCTCGCCCCACCCCCCCTGCCCGCCGTTGCCATCTGCAGGGAAGGAGCCGGGGGCCGGGAGCGCGGCGAGTCCCCTGCCCCGAGCCAAGAGTTTACGGGCCGCTTTTGTGAGCGCCGCAAGAGGAGATTACGCCTTTCAGATGAGATCAAGAGCTGCCCCCGGCCCCCCAGCGGGGACGCAGACACACCGGGTCTCCCTCAAACGCTTCCCGGGGCTCTCGGAAGCCGTGTTTTCCTTGGGGAAGTCTGCCCAGCTTCAGCGCCGGAGGGAGGGGGAGGCACGTTTGCGCTGGCAGGATCTGGAGCGCTAACCGACTCCTCCGATTGTTGCCCCAGGCCCCCCCCCCCCCCCCCCAGCCCCCCAACCCTCCCCCAGGCCTCCTACTCCCCCCCTTGCAGAGGGGTAGCAGCGTAGCCAGACCCTGGGATTTACTCACCTCCTGAGTGTCGGCGTAGTAGCTGTTCCAGTCGCCGGTTTCATGCCCCTCCATTTTCACAGTCCCTAACATTATGGAGCCAACCTGCCCGGTGTAACCATCCAGCCCTCTTGCAAGCGAGTGACGGGCAGCAGGAGAAAAGCCCGAAACCCCCACCTAGCAGGAAGCCAGCTCTCAGGAGGGGCGGGAGGGGTGCTGAATTTTCCTTTATAATCAGCCAAAAAGGAGGCAGCGAGCGGTGTGGGGCGAGACAGTTGAGAAAGTGAGGAAGTGCCGGCTGGGATGTGAGTGGAGTTGAGCTGATGTGGATCTTACGTCGCAGAAGTACCCACCTCCTCCTCCTCTCCCCATTTGTCCGCCGCACAAAGGCGTTCGCACCTACAAAGCCGAAGATGCACCTGCAAACAAGGCAGTTCCCCTCGCCTGCAACTCCCCCCGGGGCGGCACTTTATTTGCAAAGCGGCGTAATTGGTTTAAGCTTGTGGGGAAAGAAGGAGAGACAGAGGTGGGAGAAGCGGAGAGTAGGAAAAGGGGTGTGTGTGGGGGGGACGACGACGACACACCCTCCCTTCCAGATGGACAGGACAAATGCTAGGAGGGATCGGTGGAAATGAAATGAGGTAGATAAGGGAAGGGCAGCCCCCCCTGAAGAGAATGCAAAAGGCCGTGCAGCCTTAAACCCCCGAGACTAGGGGCAATATTTACTAAAGTCCAGTAGATGCTCCTTTAACTCGATGGCCGGGACGTGCTCCAAAGTTCTGAGTCCTGCAGTCCACAGGCTACTCCCCGCTCCCGCCCCTCATTTCAAAGCTGAGTACCACTCAGGTACCTCCTCACCAACCCCGCTACTGCCACGGCGCCCCCTGCCCACAGCACCCCCGGGGACGGCACCGGACGCTCAGGGCTGAGATCAGAAGGGGCTCGGCTCTGCGCTCCCCGAAGCCCTCCGACCCTCGCCATAGGCTAAACCTAGCCCCTCAAGAGGGGTTGCCATCCTGCGTAGAGCGATGGTGATTTTTCTTTTCTGGTGCCTTACGTTTAGAAACCATGTGAGTCACCGCTCTGAGACATAACACTACAGGCACCCGATAAATGCGGACAGAGGCTTGAATGCGGATCCGCCGATATTAACCTCCGCTTGGCAAACATCAGGTGAGTCACTGGAACCATTTTATATCTTTACTGTGGAAAGCCTCCAGCCCAAAGGGCTTCCTTTGAAAGCCCTCTCTGGTGCCAGGCACCCATGAGCAGTAATAAGTAGCGGATATCTCATTACCAACTTCTTGCTCATTAACACGATTTCTCCCAGAGAATAGAGCATAAGGAATCTACAAAGGCTGGTAAAAGGTAAAGAGGGGCAACACCGATAAGCCAAATTGACATTGAACAATGCTCTTTATTATTATGGAGGGAATATCTCAGTCTTTGCAGACAAACGTTTATTTCCTGTTTCTGCTGCTGCCCTGTCCGGCTAGTCGAGCTCATGTCAAGACCACAGCCTTTTCTTGGCTTCTCTGCCCTATCCTTTATGGGTTTGTTCCTACCTAGCAACTAGAATTTCTATCACCTGATCGTAAAAGATATATATAAAGGCAGAACCAAAATACCCACCCATACACCACCCAAACAAACAAAATTCACCCAAACCCAAATAACTTTCCGGGCAATGGGAATCTGAAAGGGAATTAAAGTTTATTGGGATTTTGAAAAAAGGCTTTCGTATCATACCACACAAACCAAAATACACATCTGGGGCTGAACTCCTGCGTGGCATGTTTGTCGTTCAGTATGATCACAGTTGCTTCCACAGAGATTTTCCCTCGAGGGGTCTGCGAAAACGCCACTTTCACAATTTTATAATTTCTTACACAGACATCCAGGATTCAAATGCCGAGATAGAGCATATCTCCGCCTTGACAAATATGTTTTAACTTGTCCTCTAAATGCGTTTTCTGTTACCCCTTTCTTTGTTCTTTCCCTCCTCGTCCTTTTTCCTTTAAATCTGGCTACAGAATAAAGTCAAATCCTAGAAACAAACAAAACTCTGGAATCAGCAGACGAAAAGAAGGGGTGAAAATGTGTCTTGAAGGAAATAAAACAGATAAAAGCACTTTCTCAAACGGTCAAACTACACCCGTGGAAATTGGAACAAAACCCAGCAGAAAATCCAATAAATATTAAAATTGCGGTATTCATGCACGCATCATCCCTCTTTTCCTAATGGGAGCGGTCTGCACATCTGAAAATATAGACCCTTGGGCTGCGGCTTGTTCATTTCAGTGCTCAGGTCTGTGGGGTCCAGCCCCCCCCCCCCCCCCCCCCAGCAGTACAGCCACACGCGACGAGGCTGCGAGGGATGCGGTCGCCGCAGCGACCCCGCTGGCGGCAACTCCTCCCTGAGTGACCGACCCCGCGGAGGTGCTGCCCAGCTTCCCAGAGCCCACCCCATGGGAGTAGCACACCCCAGGACGCCGGGCATTCCTCTCAGGGCTCCCTCTGTACCCTGGAAGAAAACACAGGCACGAAGCCGGCCGCGCTGCTCTGGTTCTGTTGCTAACCGTGGAGGTGTTTCCCCGGGAGGAGCAGACGTGGTGTCCGGTAAAGCCTCTCTCTGCGCCAGCCGGCCCCCGGGACGCCCCGGCTGGGGTGCCAGCCGGGCCGGGTGGAGAGTGGACGAGTCCGGGATTGTGCAAAGACGCAGCGCCTCCTGTTGTCCGGTTGAGGTCCCGGGCTCAGCTCCTTCTGCCTGAGGGTGCTGCCGTAGGTGAGGGCCCAGGCGGGATCCTGGTTGTCATCACCTCAGAAAGCCGTTCGCCTCGGTGAGCAAACCAGCCAGGCCAAGGCAGAGCCAGCCGCTGCTGGGAGTTCCTTTCAGACCCGGCTGCTGTGTCGCAGTCCCAGAAGAGAAAAGCCTTCCTTGTGTGAAGAGGTGAAGAGGGGTCATGGCGGCTCTGCCCGCGGCCACGGAAAAAGGAGGGTATTTCGGTGTTCGCCCTTGCCCTGCACTTGATCCTCTGTGAAACCCTATGTGGAATCCTCTGAGAGTCCAGCCCGATTTGTCCGTGCCCTTTGCAGCAGGCTCTGCGGGAGGGAAGGGCTTTGCTGGAATGGAGGACAAGTAACAGCAGCAAGGAGCACTCCAGATGCGCTTATGAGCTTTCTAGACTTCGCGATGGCAGCCTTGGCCCAATTTACACAGAGCCTTTCCCCAACTCTGGTTACTGTGGCGCCAGTTTCTGATTAAGCTGTACACTGTGGGGTTTTTACATTTTTATTCCTTTTTCTCAGGGGTTGCTGTCTGTGCAGTCTGGAGAACAGCACAGGCCGAGGTGAGCGGTGTTTTTGCTTCTAAGCGGGACCAGGGTCTCAGTACCCGGCTCCACGGGTGAGCACTGCCAAGGGGGGAAACACAGCAACTGACCCGAGAAAGGAAAGCACTCTCATGTGTGTGGAGCGGCGCATGCCCAGGGGACCCGGTGTTACCAGCGCCGGCTGTTGTACCTGGGCCCCGCAAAGGCCACTCAGCAAGTGGCCGGTTTTTGGGAAGTGCTGTCGGGCCGGGTCGAGGGGTCTCGCCCGTGGGAACCGGCCTCCGGTAGTGTCGCGGGGACCGGAGCTCGGCAGCGCCGTCTGCAGGTACAGCCCCATGCGTAGGACTGCGACCGGTGGAATCAACGGGGGCTTTGATTTTAACTGCGGAGGGCTGTTTCAGATCGCTCAGCTTTACCTTTCCCCTGGCAGCGGCAGGGCCTGCCGCCACCCCATCGGTTTAAGTTGGAAGGTCTTGATTTTATCCCAACGCCATCGTCTCCTAGCCGGGAATTTCTCGGCAGCTCTTGTGCGGGGTAGACGTCTAGCTGGAGAAAGAGCTGCGAGGTTATTTTTGCATCAGGATGCCTTCCCTGATGCTCACAGTACAGCCACCTTCTCTTCCCCCCCAGACCCTCTTCCTGCCTGCTCTCCAGGGGGGGGCAACCCAGACGGGTCTCCCTCGAGACAGTCGGGCCCCTCAGATCTCCCTCCTTTTCCCTGTCCTTGCCCACCCATCCCGAAAGGTGGGAAATCCCCCTTCCCATCTTTTCCAATCCGAATTCCTCTCCCATCCAAGGGAGCAAACAGTAATCGGGTGGCAACGTGCCGCTGCCCTGAGCCGGGTGCTTTGGCTGGGAGCCGGGAGGTGCTAGGGCGCTCCGGGAGCAGAGGTCGGTAACCGCTGGGAGCGCCCCTCGCTCCCGAAAAAGCTCATCAAGACGGCTGTAGAGTGGCTTGTTTCCCTCCCTCACACAGGCAGAGCCGACCCGGCTCTGTGCTCCTGCGCTGAGCCCTAGCTGAGAAGAGGAGGTGGGGTGCCCTTGATACGACCAGGCTCCCGCTGTCCCCAGCATTCCCGGTCCGCGAGGTCACGAGACGGTGCGATGCGGTAAGGTGGCGTTTACCTTCCTCTCTATCGGGAGCAGCGCCCGGGCAGGTGAAGGCACTGCATGGGGTCAGGACTTGTTTTGGAGCCTTTGCTACATGAACTTTTCTTACCTCCGATCGTGACGACTAAGCGACCCTCTTTTCCCGGCCGACACGCACCCCCGCTGCCCCGGCCCTTGCAGGGAGAACCGTGAGGACGCACCCCACCCTCCGGGTCCGGCTTCCCCTCTCTCTGCCTGCTTCTCGGTCGCTGTTCTCCCTCCCCGTCAGCCGCCGCAGGGCGCAGGAGGCCCCGGGGGGGCCAGGACCCAGGGCAGTGCCGCCCTGCTGCTGGCGGGAGCGCAGAGGAGCGTCGGCCCTTCCGGGGGCCCAGTCGTGCGGGGCCGCGCCCTCGGGGCACCGAGCAGCAGGTACTTGCCGGGCTCTCAACTTGCCGGGCTCTCAGGGGCCAGACTCTGCGGGCTCCTTCTTGGGCGCTGGAGCACATTGTGTGGCTCGTTGTAGTAGCGACTTTCCGTTGCCAGATTTTATTATATTTTATATATTTTAGTTTAGTTTAATTTAGTTTTCAATTTGTATTTTACTTTTTTTTTTTTTAGTGCAATTAATTACATTTCATTTTTCTAAGCATCATTCAGAGTTGACGTCATGAGACTGGAGCGATACTCCTGACATAAATTACAATAACTCACCCGCCTGAGAATAGTCGTTTGTCAGGCCAGTTAAGTAAGCAGAGATAGTGAAATGAAAAATTATGAATAATATCCAACGGTTGCAGCGATGACGGTAAGGAAGACTCTGAGGTTTTTTGTTTACTTTAGTGTAACAAAAGAGTTCTTAACTAGGTAAATCATGACCCACTGTATACAATCACTTTAATTTTGCTAATGGGGTTAGATATATGTATGCTGTTTGCAGAACTCCAGCTGGCAGGATGCCCACACTGCAGTGTGTGATGGGCCAACTGTGTTTTACTTTGTGCAAAAATAGATGCATTTGCTATTTCTTGTTTGATTCAGAGCAGCCATGTAGGTATTTATTTCAGTTATTGGGCATTTTTTTTAATGTTATGATTTACTGAAAAATAAATAGAAATGCTTCTGTTGTGTATTTCAATCAGTGTGCCAGTTCTTGTGTAATTGCTCAATTTTTGTTAGTTTTAAGAAGTGTTTTAAAGTAGCTGCAGTACTATAGCATGGAAGAAACAGTATCAGAGGAGATGGGAATTCAGTTGTGCACAGAGAGAAACACATGCACATCAATGGCACTCACTTTGTAGAATCTCACCCAAATTGCAAAAATAGTATTTCAGGACATACACAGATTTTTTTTTCAGGAAGCAAGAAAGCAGACTAGGACAGTGAGTGCAGTTAATATAAATAAACTGATACAAGAAGCAGAGCTTGGTAGGAGAGACACTTTTGCACCAGTCTTAGAATTACTTCTTTATTAAAGTTGCCCAAATGACTTAATGGACTAAAGTCTGCATTTCCCCCCTCCACACAATATCTGCTGCTTGAAAAAATGGTATTTCCACTAGAGAATAGAAAAGATTCTCTATTTGGAATCTTGTTTTTTCAAAACTTGTGGTGTGTTTTCTGTCAGAACATATGTTTTACTAATATAACCCACTTATTGCTGTATTGGAGAAGAGATGCAGAGCTGATCAACTCTTTGTAATATTCTGGTCAAAATAATACTTCATGTCTTCTTCAAACTGATCTTCCTGTGCAGATGGGCTTGATTTGGTACCTTAGATTTTGAGCAATGGAGACTGGAGGAATGTTACTCTTCTTTCACTGCGTAACATTATATTTTCAATTTGTTTGCTCTGTTTTCCTGTACTTGCAAAGAATTATTTGTTTCCCAGTCTCTATCTCTACAGCCGTTTTGCACAAAAGCATGGGAAGAGACTAGTATCCATCATAAATGGCTTTCTTGGCTGGCTTCAGCTCTGAAGAATCAAATGTACAAAATCAAGGCTGGTTATTTAAACTCCTCCCCAGGGAGCAGTTCCACAGCTTTACCCAGCTTGCAGTTCCTAGAGCATAAGTTATTTCAGGCTGCATTAACTGCACATTTTCTTGAGATGTATTAAAATGGACAGTAAGCAATTGTGGGATGTGTAGCAGCATTATCATGCATACACAAAAACACTTTGGCCATTTACTCTATCAGGGGACATACTTAACCTGCATATAGCAAAAATGTTGTTTGCCCTGGAGAAGGATGCCCAGAGGCCCTCTGTAACATGTCTTGTAGTTTTGCACTGAAATGTGAGAATATGAGAATCAACTAGTAACACCCTCAAATCATAAGTGAGACCCATAAAATAAGGACAGTCAACTAGTATCTATGGGAAAGTAGAAGAAGGTCTGGATTTGGTAACATTTTAGGACTCCTCAGGGGCAGCAGCTGTTCAGCATTTCGGAAATTAGTTGGTCCTCCCAGCAGTTGGCCTAAGCTTCTGCTGTTGCTTCAAGCATTTCAAGGGTGAATCTCCCTGCTGAGCAGTTTTAAGGGAAAGATATCAGGAAGGCCGCTTAGCTCACCATGTGCCTTTCCTTCTATCACATGAGCTCAGTTCCCTGTGCAGACAAGGAAGAATGAGATTAAATTAATTCCTCCTCCACTCCTCACCAGCCAACAAGGCAGCTGCCTAAGTATTTCTGCAGTGCATGTAGTTTCAAGTTTACATCTTTTTAGGTAGTGACTTAAGGTGGGAGGGAGTCCAACATTTGACCTTTCCTTCAGTTCCTCCAAAAGAGAGATTCTCTGTTCCATCCCAACAATTTCATAGCTCATCAGGTGGCTTTCTTAGTATCCATCAAACAAACAATCTTTTCCCCTTTTCAGAATCAATATCTAGGAATATCTGCTTCAACGTCCATCCCATGCCACAAACACTTTAAATCTTTTTTAACATTATCCTTAGAGGCAGCTGGAACTTCAGCCTCTGCAGACACATCTCCTCACCCTTTGCAGGGCATTTCCTTTTGCTGAAGACACTGATGAGATATGAAGGCTTTTCTTGTGATTAAATGGGATTTCTATGGCCCCCAACATTGAGTCTTCAGCTGTGAAACCTATGAGATCTACAAACACACACACATATATATCTACATCTATATATCCACAGTCAAGCTGTTGTCCTAAGAGAACAGAAGAGTTGGACTGGAATAGCCAGCCGAAAATTCTGGTGTATTAACTGAAAGGCAACAGAGAGCAGAGATAGTATGATCAAATTTTAAATCAAAATCAAGTATATAGGGCTGAGTCCAGCAAATACTTCGGCAAGTGTTTAGCTGTAATTTCTCCATTAATTGCTTACACCTTTCTTCAAAGCCAAGAGCATCTCTGACCTTCTGTCTATAATAATGGCTATGTGTGATGGGCTTCTAAAAGTAACTCATGTAATTTCTCTTCAGTTATATAATAAAATGGCACATATCTGGTATTATTACAGTCACATCATACTAAAAAATAAATCTGGGATTCATGACCACTTAAAAAGACCAAATGATTTTCTTAATGTAATGATTTTCTAATTATAAATATGGTTTTAACTAAAAAGGCTTGATCTTCTTTCCAACATCATATTTACTTTTATTTTGAATTATAAAGGAAATGCCATTATGCAAATAATGTGTTTCAATCAGAAAAAAAAAAAAGTAAAGCCCAAAATTATAGGATGAAGAAAAGTTTTAACTATTTCTGTTGGCATAGAACTGGCAAATACAGATATCTCACAATCATAATGGAGATTAGTAGAGCTGGGTGTGCATATTTGTTATGGATCAAAGATAGGATATAGTGATTAGAAGAATGACAATGCTTTCAACACTCACAAAGGGATTGAATGTGTGATTTATAATACTAATTCCACAAAACCTTCTATGGCTGCTTACTGCACAAGGGATTCAATATGGATTGATCACTGAAAAAAGAAAAGTATTTCCTTCAGCTCAGCTGGATCAAACCCTTGCAACTAGACAAAAAGCTTTTCAGTATTGACACTCTCTGATTTAAGAGATTATTCCCTCCCTCCCCCCCCCCCCCCCAATTTACTCCATTCTTCTGTTACAGATTACTTTCCCCACAGTGTAACTGCCAGAGAAATCTGTGTGCTACATTCCCAGTGGCCATACTTCACAGTTCAGTATTTTAGTTTATAACAAATAGATTTTGCCTGAGTATTTATGGACATTTTATATGGCAGAAATATTAAAACAAAGATGCTGATGCCCTTACAGTAGTCTGTAACCTGAAGATACCTACCTCTGATTTTTTATTTACTCACAGTCAGAAGCACAGACTCAGTTATGAATCTGCCACTGGTTCTACCAGAGGACTTTGGAAAGTCATTCAGACTCTCTTTGTTCTAGCTCCTGATCTCTAAAATGGAATAATTCTACCTGGGCATCGCAGTGAAACTGTATTTGTAAATATGCTATTATCCTTGTTGGAACTATTGCATTGGTGATAATTTCGAGCAAGCGTATTGCCATTTTAAAGCAGAATAGACTAGTGCTCTGACTGTAGTAGCACACTGAAAGAGCAGAATACTTGCTCAGAGCTGGGGGTGTTTTGGACTATTTAGTGTAAAAAGAGTTTCTCAGCCAGCTGGAAAAGCATATCAAGGCAAGGCTTGGTATCCACTGACTAGTAAATAACTAGCATCAACACACTAGTACTAACTAGATGTAAGCCATAGTAAGCAAAGTAGTTATGCTCCTACTTTCTTTTTTTCCTTTAGGTAACTGCTATTCAGCTTTCCAAGGACTCTTTCTGGCATTTTCTGGAGAGTCCATACCAGGCTGTACATACTTCCTATGTACCATGCTGTCCTGATTTCTGATTGCCCAGAAAAGGTGACTATTGGAAACACCATTAACTCCTCCTGACTGTGCTCCAGTTTCTTCCCAAATCCTCTAGGGCACTTGTGCATCTCAGACTCACTCCAGAATGAACTTGGATCATGGTAATGATGTATGCTGGGTGTGGAACTTATTACATGGCATGGACTCAGCTAGTTTAGGAGAAAAGAAACTGCATTTTTTCTACTTTCTCTAGCCAACTGAACAATGTTTTAATGTTCCCTTTTCTTTTTAAAAATAAAAAAAATCCCAGTAACATTAACAGATTAATAACATAGACAATACAATTTGTATGATATTAGAAAGCATAGTGGTCTGGTGAGGCTTAATTAAATAAAATAATGATGTGTACCCAGGAACTGAGATTGCACGAGGTTTTCCAAAACTATATACATTTGCTAAGCATAAGCATTCATCCACCGATTAAATTTTGGACTTTGCAAGCTGCAGAGATAGGGCTTAACCTGTTTAACAAAATAACTAATGTTAATAAAAAAACACCTTCAGGCTTTGAGCACAATTGTGTTCATTAAGGGAGGGGTACATACTAATAATAAATACATGGAGAAAGAGGAAAAAGCTTTCCCTGATTTCTTGTATATCAGAGACAAGAATCTCTGTAGTCATCTCTGGAGCTCAGGCTGAGGACCTGTAGGATACAATGGCAGCACGCACTTCTGGAATGACTACTAAGCAATGTGTGTGGCTTGGTAGGGAAAAAAAATACAGTGTTTGGGATTTCACTTGACATCTGCTCTCTTGGGTGCTTACTCACTTTGCTTACACGACCTGGAATCTAAATGCTGTAAAACAGGAAACGTTTTATGAACCAAGGCTTCAACCTTTCTTGCAACCTAACTGCATTCTCCAGGAGCTAGCCCCTGATCTTCTGCAAGCAGAGCTGACACACAGGAGATATAGTAAGATAACACAACATACTCATTTTCAATTTTACCACAAATATTAACCTAAAGAGGAAACCCATGTCTAAGGATTTTTTCTTCTTCCTAAGATTATTATCTTTTTTTTTTTTATATATAAATGCAAATCATTCTTGTCATTCAGCAGCTTCTTACTAGAACTTCCTGATGCAAATACCTCTTCACATGCAGAGGCTTTTCTTCCACATCCCACTGTGACTCCCGCAGAGAGGAACTGTTCTAGATAAATGAAATTGTTCAGGCTTTACTTACCATGTAACTAGTTTGAAATGAATCTGTTCTCTAGGTTTACAGCTGCATTAAACTGCTAATAGGATTCATCTTCAGTGAGGCAATTGAACACTTCATTCCTGTTATGAACTGCTCTACTGGCCTTGGACAGCTAACGAGAATCCTTTAGCACAGATCAGCTACTTGATATTCTACCTTCTGGTACTCCAGCTACTCTGGGATTCCTTCTAGAGAGAGGGAGAAGCAAATTAGACACCAAACACATATGCTTATTACAGGCCTTTAATCAGTTATCTTGCTATCAGAAGAAGAAAACCTGCTATTAATTGGGATGTAATATGACTGGCTAATGTGTTTTTAATCTTCAACAAGTTTTTAGTTGCATTAGCAAGATAAAAGTTGGTCATCTTGCCCAGTGTAAGAAGTATTGTTTGTTTGCAAGGAGTACACTGGCTATCCCTTTGAACTCCAGGAATACAATTAGGTGGGAAAAAAAAAAAAAAAGCTACAAAGCTGTAGCTGAAATCTACAAAGAAAGGAGAGGATAATAGAAGACATTTGCCTGTTAGATCAGTGCAGCCTTTCAATCAGGTGAGTGCTATATTTGAATCCAATATATGCAGCTAGAGCCTACAGTTCCTTGTTACATGGATGTTTGAGACCCAAATGAAGAAAAAGACAAAAAACCCAAACAAACAAACAAAAGCCACCCCCCCCAAAGAAAACCTCAACTTCATTTTTACCAACAATAACATAAATACAAATATGTAACAGGCTTAAGTGGATTAAGAGTGTAGTTTTGTGAACTGTTGCAGCCCAGAGATTCAGGGAAATTGTAATGCTTTGAGTTCAGATTATATACAGGAAACTATATTTGTGGGTTTTTTTTCCTCTTACTGTTATAAGCTGCTTCACTCTGCCTGTGTTCTAGATAGTCAGCTTTTCTTTCCTGATCAATGTGATCCTATAGGATTGTGCCATCGTTATGATTGTCTTGATAGACTCACTTTGACTTTTCACATTTTCTTTTAACTTAGATGTCTTTTTTTATAATTATTTATTAATTAATTTATTTATTTCCTGAAGTTTGATTATTTTTGGCACATTTTATCATCCTGGTATTTGTTGGATACTGGAATGGTCATATATCTTCTTGGTGCACTTCATACTTTGTGTGTGAAAAGAACTACTGTTAAAATTTAACTTTCACCAGACAGCTGTCAAATATGTTTGATACCTCTGTTCTCTGAAGGACAGGCTAGTAAAACTGGAAGACATGGGGTCAGGATTCCTCTCAGAGAACTGGTTTCAGACTTTTTGCTCACATTAACACTGCAAAGCTGGTTGGTTTATGGAGTCTGAGACAGAGTTTATCCTGTTGAGATGGGTCTATCCTGTTGCAGGCAGTCCCTACTATTGTAAATAAAATCCTGACGACAGAAAGTTTATCGGTGATGATAAACAAGTCACACACGGCCGAACTGGCTTTTCATCTCCAAGCTGCCTCTTTGAAAATTAGGAAAATTAGTTTTACGGGGAAAAAAAAAAAAAAAAAAAGTGTCTGTAATTATGTCTAGGAAGCGGCTGCATTGCATGGTACACAAATTCCCATACAGGATATTTGTACATTTCGTTTCCAGGGCAAAACTGACTGTCAGCAGAATAGGGTTGCCATACACAGGAGACAAAGAGGGCTGAAAAGGGACAGATCCGCTCTCCCGCACTGTGCCCGCCAGATCCCGAGGCTCAGCTTGCGGGTCTCTAACGCTGCCTCCGGATGACGCTGAAACTTGTGGGCCTTAAGATATAAGCTCACTCAAGCGAGCAAATTCTGACCAGTGCTCGCCACACAAAAGCCTTCACGTCCCGTCCCCGAGGGTCGGAGGACGCGCGTGTCTCCCGAGTCCGAGTGATGCTGTGGGAAACCTTGCGTGGCATGGCCCTCCCCACCGACAGGGGGCGCTTGCTAGGGGTGGCAGCCGGCACCGCCGTCTCTCTCTCTCAGCGGGAGCCTCATTGCTTGGATGCGGAGCGCGTCCTTCTGCCTTCCCGCTTGGTAGCGAGCGGCCGCAGCTCTTGTGGAGTTTACGGGCCTGGCTCCTTGTCGTCCTCGGGGCCGCCGGCTTCTTGTGGGGCGGGGGAAGACGAGCAGCCTTCCTGTGCGGGGCTGTGTCGGTGCGTGGCGGGGGTGCGGTCCGGCCGCGGAGACAATGAGGTACTTCGCTGAGGGTAGGCAGGCCCTTTGCCTGCTCGATGGGGAGAAGTGAGGCTTGGGGAGGGGGGAAGGTCCCAATTTAACCTCCCCAAAATAGAAACAGTTCAATTGTTTCTTCAGGTAAAATGCTAATACCTATTGCTGGTGCTTAATTGTACACATTCAGAGCAGTCTTATTAAAGTCAATGGGGCCCTTAGCAAAATGAAGTAGTCTTTGCAAGATTGGGTTATGTGTTGATATATAAAATACAAAACCTTATTTCTGTTTGAATTTACACGCTGCATACAGTGGGAGAAACTTGCTAGAAAACATGAGCACTTTGGACTGAGTTATGTGGAAGAGCTGAATATGATTAAGGAACATGAGACTATATGCAGGGAGTCTCAGTGGGGTAGTCTGAAGATCAAATAAGCAATAGTTACTGTTCCTAGGAACGTGAGCATTTAGCCCTTATTGGAAGATTTAACACCAGATCAATCACATCAGTTAAGAACATTATCCTCTCCAGAGGTCGATGAGTCCACATAAGCCTGTCATGAATATAAATAAAAATATTCCTAATTAATTCATCGGGTGTTCTGAAGTTCACAGAAAGGATCTCTTCTGAAGTAAGAGACATGAAAAAACAAACTCCTCATCTCAGGGTGATGACTCAGAGAAATAAATCCGTGGCAAAAGGCAGTGCTGACAAAAATCGGGGAACTTGCTCTGAAGAAGTTAACAGAGAAAGTGCCACTTGTAGTCATGAAAGTACAGTTGTAAAACTGCCAGTAATAGTATCATTTGCAGGTACCACTAAGAAAATCCTAATGGTCAAGCACGCAGCACCATCTCAGAAGCCAAACTGCAGGCCTAATGTTCATGTTCATAGATCCCCTATCTCATTAAAAAAGACAAAAGCTATTAGTAAAGAAAAGGATAGAGTGCATATGCTACAGATGAATCTCCAGAATTTAAAAAGGGATAAAACTGGAGAAACAGATGCTGTAATTATAGATAGTGAAGAATTTAGCTCTACAGATTCTGATACAAGTAAAAGCTCTTCAAGAAAGGGAAAAACAATCTGGTAAAGCTGTAAGAAGCGAAGCAGAGTAATTTCAAAAGCAAAGCAGCAAGATTTAGATGTTCGATTGGGAAGGGTGCTGAGAAAAGGAAGCAAGCAGCTAAGTGTGAGGTCTGCTCAAGAGCATTTGAAAGAGGCAAGAGATGTGACTAGACCAGACACTTCAAAAATGTATGAGAACTACCAGCAGAGCAAACCTGAAGAGCCTACTTCCACACCAGCATTGCCTGTGAAAGAGGTTGCAAGGTCTATTGATGAAATAGTTGCTTCCCTGCAGTCTACTTCTCTATCTCCCTCAGACCAGACGATCAAAGAACTCCTGGAGAGTGTTCTTGGCTAGAACTACAATATAAAAATGGAAGCAGGTGAACCAGAACAAGAGCAATATTTTTCTCTTGGGTAAATATTACTTTTACAAGAGTTGTGTATTTTTTTTTCCAGCTCCTACAATGTGTTACAGCACAGAAGCCAGACAAAACAAATCAATAAAGGCACTAATGTATCATAGAACATCCTTCAGTGTTTCTTCTGCCTTTTTTTTTTTTTATGTCCTTAAAAAATGAAAATGAGCCAATATCAAAATATATTAAAATAGAAGTTATTTTGGGGTATTATTTTTATTATACTGCTTATAGTTTAATACATCTTTTATGTTAATCTCCTTTCCCTTTTTTTAAGATGTTACATTCCAGTCTGACAGATGAAAAAATGCATTAAATGCATTTGGGATCTTGTTGGAAGTATTGCTTCTTTTAGTTATTGTTTAGCTTGTAAAGTCTTGATAAGGCAAATTCTTTATTGTTATGGTTAAGTAGATTGTGTAAGGAGCTGTAAGAGGGTCCCTCCCACTAGTTACATCAAAAAGTAACACTGGACGTCAGGTAGATGCTACAGAAACTTTTTTTAGATTTTCACCAGAGGATTGCTGATTAATTTGTTGACTAGTAACTTACTATCAGGTGTCTTTTTGTCCTCTCTTAGCAAGACTGATAGTTTTGTTCTAGTTCCAAGAGGATTAAAACTTATGTCACAGAAATCACTGTCACTCTTGGTATTTCTGCTAGCACTTGTAAGGGATGCTGTAGAATGAATAGGTCCATGGACGGTGAGCTACTCTTTTTTTCCAGCAGCAACTGACTCTGCAAGGAAGAGTGGAAGACTGATGAAAAGTGTATGAACCTGTGTTTTAGGAGATGATAAAGAACATTGTGTCCCACAACTATCAAAATGCTACCTTTTATGATCAAAAAGTATCGCTTGTCGAATGTATGTATAGTACCTTACATTACATTAATGTGAGATTGTCTGTCTTTTGGTTAAATAAAATAAAAGGGGGGGAGGAAAAAGAAATCCTGAACTTAATTTAAATGTGTAAGTCGGTGCAATAGTTCTGAAACTGTGTTTCCAGTAGATTTATGTCCTCTGATTTGATTTTCCACTGAGAGCTGTATGTGTGGTTGAGACATTCACACTGTATTCCACTCCATGTATATTTTCTATCGTATTTCAATTAGGTTTGAAGTCAGAGAAGACTCCTCAGTGTTGCAGCATTGAGATGATCCCTCTACATTGCTTGCCTTGTATTTTAGGAATCTGATAATTTGTGACTCTTCTTTTTGGTTGAAATCTGTCAGCTGGTTACAAGAATATTTCAGGCAGATGTGAGAAGGGCTAAAGAAGATCCTGGACCTGGAAAACCATTTCTTGTTCAACTTACTAGAAATAATTATTAGTGTTTGGTAACGTGCTGAGTTGCATGGTTTTTCTTACGCTTTTATAGATATGTCTTATGTTCTAAGTAAGATTTCCAAAGTTTGGCCTCCAGCAAGTCCTGAGACTCTAAAATTGGAGAGAATAGGTATTTTCGGTTGTTTGAAGTGAGAGCTGCTGGGCTCTGAGCTTTGAAAATCTGACCTCTGGCGTACTGTGATGTTTAATTTTTTATTTCTAAAACTTACGTCAATCAGGTTGAAAGTAAAATAAAATTTTGAAATTGGTGATGACTTTCTTGTTGTTTGTTTATAATTTTTAATTTATTTTTTTTTTTTAATGTATGGAGATATGGACATTAATGAGGGTAAATGAGACCCTTACTGATCACCTTTTTTTTTTTTTTTTAATTTAAATCAAAGGCATTTGCAGCAGGTGTCTTTTGAACTTAAGTGACCTTACAAATAAGATGCAGACTCTAGCATTTCTTTATTATTATGCATGGTTTATTTACAGTGAGCTTCAAATCTTGCCTTCTGTAATGAAGTAAGAAATGTATTCTTTTAACTGAAATAGAAACGCTAGGAAAAGAACTACTAAAATAAAAACAAGCTCTCAGAATTAAATGTGTTTTTCTTTTCCTGCTAAAAGAAAATTCTACTCTCTTTTTCTTGATCTTGCATTACTGACTGGTTGTCATTGATAGCTTATGATACTGCTGTGGGGGCTGAATGCTGGTTTTGGTCCTGCATTGAAAAGAGTATTACCTGGGGAATGGAATGCCAGCTCGGTGGGACATTAGTACTCAGTCCTGTTTCCTTTGAGGGAAATCAGTTGTGAATAATGATTCCTACAACAATTTCTGCTAAAAAGTAGAATTTTTATTATAAGAATAATACAGTTGCCAATGCCTGTAGTAATTTTGTTGTCTTGAGGCTTGTTGCTACCCCTAAAGTATATTGAGTTTTTAAGTTATATGTCAGATTAGTATCCCTAGGAGGGTGTTTATATTTATTTCAGAAATGCATTTTCTTGGTCTTCAGCTTTCTTGAACCTTCAGCTCATTTTTAGTTAGTTACTGTTTTCAGCAGATCCATTCTTTGATACCTGAGATGAACTTGTGAGAGTGGTAACTGAATGAACATTTTTGTTCTTTGAAAAATAATGTAAAATTTGAATGCTTCCATTAAACAAGGACTGTACAGTGCACCATACTAGCAGCAAGTCAGCATAAAGTATACTTTAGTTTTAGAAAAACATGTCTAGCTCTCAGTCGTGAGGCCTTGAGAAGTTTTTCTCTGTAATGCATTAATACTCTCAAAAGTGCTTTGATGGAGACTAATTGCTGTTAAAATTCAAGAAGAGATAGACTTCTTGAATTTGCATTATATCTATAAGCAAATACAAGCATTTCCTCGTAACTTTACACTATCTCAATTCTTTGCTCTGTGTGTTCATTATACTTCCAGCTGACGTGACAGTTGCGCAACAGACCATATGCTACTCTCTTTAGGTGTTACAATGTGTATTCTAAGTATCATGGATATGAGCAAGAGACTTCAATTTATTTCATTTAGCTTTCTTTAAGTGGTGAAAACCCTAACTCTTCCTACTGGTTTTCTTATTTTCTGCCTACATGTGGCTCATGGAATGAACTCATGGTCTTAACATCTTGTTAAAATGTGGCTAAATCAAGACCATGATGCTTGTTTTTCCCTGAGTTTGCTGTTAACATCCTTAATTCAGGTGGCACATATTATTGACTATGCTCGATAGGCTTAATCATGGCAGAGGCTATGACACTTCCTGCCACTTGCTGAAGGGAGCTGCCCAGTCTTCAGGGGTGGACACTACTACTCTGGGATATGTGATTTTTTATTTTTTTTTTTTGTTTTTTGTTTCCTAGAACAGTTAACTCATATTACTTTAGTTTTTTTGGTGGTGTTTTTTTTTTTTTTTTTTTTTTTTTAAGATGTTTTCTGTTCATAACCTTGCAAGAAACTGCCTAGGGAGAGATGCGAGATAGATGATTTACCTGTGACTTCTGAACTATCTGTTTATTTCATCAAAGTTACCAATGCCAATATCTAATTAAAAACAATCAAATTGTGCAGTTTGTTACATTTCCTTATGATCATTAGGCCCATATAATTTATGCTTGTCCTAAAAATGCTACATGCTTTATGGGGCAAGAGCTATCTTTTTATCCTGAAGTCTAACAAAATGGGAGAGCTTATTAGGTCAGTAAGCTGTTGTTATGAGAATGTTTTGGATTTTTTTCTTTAAATCAGATAGATTGTAATCTCTCAGAGTTTCAAGCTTTGTCAAAGGGGCACAGGGTGATTAGCTGTTTGCGTATAGTTTGTATAAATTCATCATGTTAAAGGTTTAAAATATTTATACATTCACACATTTAGATTGACTTTTTTTGTCATTTATCAGGGTCTTTTCTGCACTGGTCATACAGAATTTTCATGACAAAACAGAGGAAAGTAAGTTATTTTATTACCATGAGGAATCAAAGACACACCAGATGAAACTAAGATAAATTGAGAGGTATTTAACCCCCCCACAAACCCAAATAAAAACAAAAATCAATTTTCTGTATGTCAGGACTCATAATGAATCTTTTCAGCTACAAAGGGTGCCACAGACAAAACAAAGTGACTGAAAAATGTTAAAATGGTTTGTAATGAATTACCAAGGTGTTTGGGTACCTAAATATTTTCTGTATCTGTAAGGAAAAGGCTGTGGCTAATAAAACTGGTTTTTTGAAGGCACAGCAGAAGATTCTATCACAGGGTTAAAATATCAGTGCAGCTTCCTCAAGAATAGGCAGAACACTCAAGAACAGACTCCCATAGGAATTAAGAGTTGCCACAGATCTGAAGACTCTCATTTCCCAAAGTTAGATCACACCTCTTGGGCCTTGGTTTTAATGCAGACACACACCCCATAGTATATATAGGCAGTATACATCATTTTATTAAAATAACACAATAGCACTGTGCCTGCAATTCACCCATGGGGAGCGAACAAAAGAGAAAAAGCCGCACCCAACAAAAGAAAGCAAACACATAACATGTACAGGTGTCTCAAATGAAATTAAGACAATATTTGCTCATATAATCTGTTGGTTTTGACAGATCAAGAAAATGAATATGTAAAATTGTAATTTACATATTATGCAATAGAAACATAAGTTGATCCAGTCTGGTTAAATGGAAAACTTTGTGAAAATTTCTCTGTGATTTTATAAATTATATGATAAATTGCATGGGGAAAGAATTACAGTTGGCTAAGATGGACTGTAATAATTACTTTTCCATGGTAATCACCATGTCTGAAAATATGCATTTGTTACAAAGAAAAGGAAAGTTATTTGGTATAGCTTGAGAAGATAATGCTGAATCTGTTGCTTTTAGTCCTGAGTTGTACTACATTCCTCTACTTTAGTTCTTTGCTTTCATGGTGATGAAAAAGTAGTAAGAATTGTTTTTTTCTTAACCTGTCTTTTCTATTAAAGGTAGATTAAATTATTAACGCTTTAGTTAAAAGCAAAACACCAATGTGCAACTTCGTAGATTTTATTGCTTTATAGTTTACATTCTCGGGGTAATATATACATCTATTGCTTTGTGTTGGCCTGGAGACTACTCCTTTTTTCCTTCTCATTTTCTGATATGCAAGGAAAATGTTACAGCTCAGAATATACTTCTTGCATGGTATTAGAGTTAGATGCAAAAAATCTAACTCAGGGGCATTAAACCCCCCTGTATTTTTAGGTTGCTACATGGACAATACATTCAATGAAGTGAAAGTTCTACTGTGTGGGAGATTCTTACATTAAAAGAACAAATGGAAGGTTGTAGTGCCAGCAGAGGATTTTTTTTCATGATGTGACAAACCGTTTCTAACACATATTCAACTGATAGCTTTAATGCGTTTTTGCATCAAGTTTTGGCTCTGAAATATTTTCCCTAGAAATATTGAACATTTCTGTAGCAGTTTTAAAGAACTGTATTCTAAAATGAAATGCAGTTTAGATGTGATATTTCTGTTTGTTACTGTTATCTTTAAAACTTGGTTCCTCAAGCCAGTATATGGCACAAAGGCTAAAGTACATGTGTGCTGAGTTACGTATATATATGCTAACCAGGTGCTTAGAAAGTGCACTGTCCCTAAAACTACCATCTGTTTTGAGACTTCTTGCTGCACTTTATTTCTGTTTGGTGGTTTGGTTGTGTGTTTTGTTCTTTTTTTTTGTTTGTTTTTTTTTTGGTGGGTTTTTTTTGTTTGTTTTTCTCTTTTTTTTTAGTTTTTTTTTTTGTTTTTGTGTGTGTGTGCACATGCTGTAACCAAAAGCAGACTTGCTGAATTGTCCTTTTGAGAAATAATAGTATGTTTGGGAACTAAGAGCAACTTCAAATTTTATAGTAGCTTTTCTGCTGGTGGAGCAATTATAGTTCTCTTTGTGGAGAAAATGATTAACTGAAAATTGCACTCATCTTTTAAGCTTCTTTACTATAAGCAGTTCTGTAGAGAATTTTCTTATAGTAAAGAGTTAATTATGTGTGTAAATGTTCGTAAAGCATGAGCCTAATATAATTTGGTTTTCAATGTACTTTTTGTTTTTAAACTAATTTATGGCCCAAACTTTATTTTATGCATATATAGATTGTTTTGTTGTTGTTATTTTCTGTAAGGTGGTGTTAATTATATATATATATATATATATATTTTTAGCATTCTTGTTTGACACTAGTTTTCTGCTCTTGCTTATACAACAGGCTCCTGAACATGAGGAAATGAAAACTGAATATCAAGTCCTGCCAAGTTTTTACCAAGCAAGCCTGGTAACATTCTGCATTATCTAGGAATGTTAAAATATAATAAGTTCATAGCGCTTCTGTTTGCTTGCAGAGTTGTTAAGATAGGTAGTTCATATTTTAAACTGATAAAACTGGGAAGGAAATGAAATAGTCCTTGAAAACATTTTGCTAGTTCAGAAATCACAAGTATAACTTTATTTTTGTCTCTTTCTCTTTTGTGTCTCTTGTTCATTCCTTTTCTTATGGGGCTTGATTCTCCAACTGCTGTATATAAAGAATTTGCTTTTATTGAGTAGCATGCCAATTAGGGAAATGGAATCATACGACATTAATCTATATGCATTTTAGATTAATGCCCATCGTTCTATGCCTTTCATTCAAAGAGTTTAAAAAATTTAAACGCATATATGTTTTATGGGTTGCTTACTGTTTAGAGGCATCTATGATTTATTTGCTTTAAAGGATCATAGATCTCATTATAATTTTCTGATGTATGTTTCTTCCTACATTTTGCAATTTCTTCTTGCAGGTACAATGTAGAAGAAATAGACCAGATCTTTGATGAGAAACTTCTATAAGTATTATTATTTAGTGTTAGTCGTTGTAGGTCCTTTGCCTATTACTATATTTATTTCTGGAAATCTAGTTAGCTGTTATGGAAGCATTTGGCTATAGGTAAAATTGATACAATATTCTGAGTGCTTCATAATATGCATGGATGATGAAAGAATAATTGCATATAATAAATATTGTTCTGAGTTAGTTGTCAGGGAGCACAAAAGTGTTTCTAAAAAAGGATTGTATGCTCACCGCTTACCATTTTTTTCCCCCTTTCCCTCAGAAGACACCAGTAGTTCAGAAAGAATTTCAAGCAGCAGAAAATGAATCTCTAGCTAGAGATGACCTAACATATAATAAGCAGGTAAGCAGGTGTTTAGTACTGTTGTGACATGGTATTAATTTTCCCATGCTTAAGGTTTGATTCTTTAGAGCATATAGATGTCTGCAAGCTGTTTCCTTACCACCTGCCCTTTAAAAGAAGGTTTTCTATAAAACAGGTCTTCATACTGGTCTTGCAGCTTAAGGTTAGAGGAGAAAACAAATTAAGGTTCATTCGGTCAGATGTTGGGTTAGGCTTTTCTTTATGAGATTGGAAAGAAGATTACAAATGAAACAATGTATAAATAGAATACTAATCTACATTTAACAAGTGGATGCCTTCCTGGAAAATGGCATAATGCTCAATATCCTTTTGCTTTTGTGATATTTCACATACACATGACAAAAACTCTCATTCTGATATCAACTCTATAAAACTTAGCTTTTTAGTAGAGAAAACATATTAGGTTTATAGAGACAGTAACACAGAGGACAAATTTGCTGCTAAAACCAAGTTATGTCTTTTCCCACATGTTGTCAGTTTCTAGTGTTCTGGTATTTCAAGCCTATAGTCAGATACTAAAATAAAATCTTAACCTGATTCCTTCTGTAGGTTCAATGGAAAGAATTACTTTGCCTTAAGGTTATTAGATATGCTTATTGTAAAACAGAATAATGTTTACATTGGTATAATGACGACAACCAAGAATGAGATGTTTCCGTTAGGCAGTGTTACATGCAGAGATATAGGATAGCGTTGGCCTAAACTTAAGTAAGATGAACACAGGGCTGATTAAGCTACATGGGAAGACAGATGCAGGTGTTGTAATGGAGATAAAGGGATGAAAATGAAAAGGCAGACACACATGTAGGATACTTGTGGATGGCCCAATATCTGCAAATACATTGTTTCACGGTCTAGTTATTGTAAGGCAGAGGTCTAGTTAAAATACTCCTGAATCGAAGTGTTATGGGCCTTCCTTCAGCTGTTTCTTCATCTCCTTCTACTGATAACACTTTGGCCCTGAGTGTCTCTTCAAGCTACAAGAAGAAAAGGATAGCGGTAGTCACACACCTGGAATTCTAGAGCACTAGCAACCAAATTTTCTGATCAATTGTAGGATAATGCAGAAGCAAAGATGCCCACAGCTTACCCTGAAGAGCTAAGGGACAGGGGAGCTCTAAGAATGGCTCACAGGGAGATGGCAGAAACTTCGTATCGGTCCTGGCACTGCATTCTGCGATGGGGCTACAGTAGGCATGAATTAGAGTCTAAAGTGACCTGGTGATGCCGCCCTTGAGCAGTTCCAATTGGCAGGCATTCTTCTACGTCTAAGGATTCATAATTTCTTAGCAAATTTAATGTAGCAAAATTATTTCTGTTAGGTGTATTAGAGTTCTTCTGTTGAAGAAAATGGATGAAAAAGAAATTCTGTTACTTTTTAAAGATTCTGCTAAATTAGAAAAAAGTATTATGCTTTGAAACTTCCCATGTAATATTTGTCTATCTATAGGGCAGAAATATTTTTAATCCTTCTTTAACTGAAACCTCATGTGCCATTTGTACTTGGCTATAATATTTTATATAATTAATAATAATTATGATGTTTGCAGGTAGTTTTAAAAGTATACTCTCTAACATCAGTTGATCTCTTGATTACTATTGATCCTTTGGTTACTAAACTAAATATGCTAAATGATGTGTAAACAATACACAGTGCAGTGTCATGGATGGTAATTTTTATAATATTCAAGGATATAGTAAGATAATTTTATGACCTCTAAATTATATACTGTTTGCCAACAGAGCGGTTTCCCAGTTATCTAAACAGTACTGGGGTACTGTGATGTTTTTTAGACAGAATTATTTTGTGCAGCATGGCACTTCTGTAATGCACTGGTGGTACCGTTGCAAAGTAGTTTGCAAGATTGGCACCTCAAAAGTAACATATGTTTGGTTCTATTTAACCCAAGTAATATGTAATTTAAATATATTATTTAATTTGAAAGTGCATGCTTTCACTTTTACACATAGGAAAAAATAATGGAGAAAAAATAAAAAATAAAATAAAATATAAATGGTGTTAAGAATCCATATGTATTAGCTAAATGCTCTATCAGATTGTTAGTAGAACTATTTATGTACAGAATGAAGGTAATGTACTGTATATTAGTATTTCTATAGAACATTATTCATTGGCATATGTTTGTGACATCTTATTTTTGAAATTATTTTGCTTTGCTTAGTGGGCTGCAGGGCCCATACAATTTCAAGATTAACTGGTTAATTGTGCAGATGAACTTGAAGATTTGGTTATACAGAAAGTCAGATGAAAAAATGCAGCTATTTGCTTTAGGTGTTGTAATTTTGTTACATATGTGACTGAATTACATAAATATTTTGATTAAAATGTTGTGTGTTAGTACACTTATTTTTACAAAGAAAATGAAATAAAATATGACATTATACACATTTAAAATGTCCACCTAATAGTGTGTTGCCTCATGTTCTCTGGTTTTAGGCTTAAAGGAACTTCCCTCTACTTAGTATGGTCTCCATAATTCACTAGCAAGAGGGTGTTGAACTTCCCCTTCATGATGGTTCATGAAAAAGAGAATATGACAGAATTTTGGTGTATGATTTTATAGTAGTACCTGCTGTAATTTTAGTTTCAGAGGTTTTCATTAGCCTTATTGGTATCTAAGACACACACAAATATTGTTGAGTATCTTCAGTTACTTTAGATATCACTTATGTGGTTTTTTTGTTTGTTTGTTTTGTTTGTTTGTTTGTTTGTTTTTCCCTAAATTATTTCAGTACCTGGGCATTCCAAAGGCTTGTTACCTTTTTTTCTAGAGACTGGACAAGAGATAAAGAAACATTTACTTGACATTCAAAAGCAAAGTTATAGTCTTGTATTTTGCTCATTTTAATGATAAGTTTTCAGGTAGATATAGTACTTTTATTATTTTTTTTTTAGCTTATTTTCTGTATATAAAATTTTGGTTGACTTCCAGTTTCTCTGGTAAACAAAATATATGACTTTGGTTCTTCATATTTTTTCATGTATGTGCTGATATAAACAGTAGTGTTGATTTCAAAAATAACAATACATTAAACCATTTTAATTTTGAATAAGCAGTTTCAGAAGGTAGTGACTCAAATATCTATTATGGTTATCAGTATCTTTTACTTGGTGATTAGTATTCTTATTAATGAACTATAAACTTCCATTTTCCAGAGGGACCTTGACATGCTTGTGAGGTGGGCTGATGCCAACCTTATGAAGTTTAACCATGACAAGTGCAAGGTCCTACACCTGGGTCGGAGCAATCCCGGGCACAGCTACAGGTTGGGCAGAGAAGAGATTCAGAGCAGCCCTGTGGAGAAGGACTTCAGGGTGTTGGTCGATGAGAAAATGAACATGAGCCAGCAGTGTGTGCTTGCAGCCTAGAAAGCCAACCGTATCCTGGGCTGCATCAAAAGGAGCGTGACCAGCAGGTTGAAGGAGGTGATCCTGCCCCTCTACTCTGCTCTTGTGAGACCTCACTTGGAGTATTGTGTGCAGTTCTCATGTCCTCAGCATAAAAAGGACATGGAACTGTTGGAACAAGTCCAGAGGAGGGCCACGAGGATGATCAGGGGACTGGAGCACCTCCCATATGAAGACAGGCTGAGAAAGTTGGGGCTGTTCAGCCTGGAGAAGAGAAGGCTGCATGGAGACCTCATAGCAGCCTTTCAGTATCTGAAGGAGGGCTATAGGGATGCTGGGGAGGGACTCTTCATTAGCGACGATAGTGATAGGACAAGGGGTAACGGGTTAAAACTTAAACAGGGGAAGTTTAGATTGGGTATAAGGAAGAAGTTCTTTATTGTAAGGGTGGTGAGGCACTGGGACAGGTTGCCGAGAGAAGTTGTGAATGCTCCATGCCTGGCAGTGCTCAAGGCCAGTTTGGACAGAGCCTTGGGTGACATGGTCTAGTGTGAGGTGTCCCTGCCCGTGGCAGGGGGTTGGAACTAGATGATCTTAAGGTCCTTTCCAACCCTAACTATTCTATGATTCTGTGATTCTATAATTTTCTCATGCAGTGATTTTTTTCTAAGTACTTAAATACTACTGAAGTTATCAGTAGACATAGACATTGTGCCCTGTTGTATTTGGGGCATAAAACATGTAAGTGGACACAGAAGAGTAAAATCCTATGCTTTTGTGATTCATTTAACCGGGTATGTGACTGCAAGTCTTCATTAGAGAAGTATTTGGTCACAGCAGTTGTATTTTTTTGGTTCCTTTAAATTAAGCTAGCCAGCCTTATGAAAGTAATTACCTTGGTGTATCAGGTAATTACTAAGAAAGTGGACTTCCACACTGAAAGAAATATTTTTCAAGACAAAGCACTTTAAAATTTGTGTGCTCCACTGTTTTGCTGTTTCTGTTTGTCTTTGTTACACTATGATTATACTGTATTTTCTTGAGCCTGCTTTGTTGTGTGCAAGCTTTCAAGTGGAATTCAGAAGAATCTTTTTCATTGATGGTGCTGCAAATCTCTTTCAGGAAGATACTTAACAGTTTGCAGGAAACAGAATAGTGGAATGGTTGAGGTTGGAAGTGGCCTCTGGGGTCATCACAACAGAGAAAAAGCAGCACAAGGATTTAGATTCTGAAGCTGAGTTTTATGAAACATTTGCAGACATTTTGGCAGCAATGATGACTTCAGTAGTTCCTTTTCCTTGCTGTTTGCTCTTGCTCTTGGGTTACAATGTGGGGACACTCTACAATGGAAATGAGAGATCTAGATTAATTTCTGCTTTCTCTCCACACTTTTTTCTTTTTTTTTTTTAACATGGATCAGTTATCTGATCTATTTCGCAGTATGAAAAAGCAATTTTTGGCACAACTAAGCAGGTGGTGCTCTTATAAATAAGAATCAGCAGCTACGGGTGGAAACAGTAGGAATTTCTTACATCTGTATTCCTGCTGAAGTTCATGTATTTAATAAACATAACCTTGATGTAGCTTTTCTAAAAAGTCATCCTGTAAGCTATGTGTATGTTTGAATTTGTTTAAAAATATAATACAAATTTTAGATGTGTTCATTCTCTTTTAATAGTTCTGAATAGTAAAATTATGATTTGATGTTCTTTTGATTATTCTTTTTGTAATATAGTGAAATACACTCATACAATATTCCGAAATGCAATTTAGGTAGGGCACATGGGAAATTCTGTGTCCTGAATAGCCATGGGCGCTGCTGTGATCTGTGTAGTGACAGCAGTTCTAAACTGTTCAAGTTTAACTGAATTGTGTTTTCTAATGGTCAGAGTTGCGTGTGTGCTCCTTGTTCTGCTCCAGAGGTGAGTGTGAAAATAGCCATAGAGCTTATCAGCTTATCACTCTTTATCTTCTGTTCATGAATATTTTAGGTTCCATCCTTGGATGTGCTACAGGTGGAAGGAAAAGCAATATCAAAAATTAAACCAGATGAAGTTCAGAAAGAGCTACAAAAGGAAAATGACTTGCAACAATCTTTGCCTCCTCATGCTTCAAATGTCAAGTAATTTTAAAATCTTATTATTATAAAAAAAAATCCTGAAAATATATTAAGTGATTAGTGCTTAGCATGACAGATAAGTTTGT